CTGTGTTTGACATCATGGTTAGGTCATTATGGAAATGATTGACACACAGAGGATTATGATGTCACATGGGAATAAACCCTGAGAGGCAGTGAATTCTGAAGAAGCAAAAATTCTTGCTTTTCATGTAATTTTCTTTGATGATTTAATAAAATAGCTCAAGATTAGCTTCATCTGCAGAATTTTCTCCCATTGTGGTATTTTTTAAGAGGTTTCTGTGAGGCATTTGTGTCCATTTAAGATGGAATGTTAAGGGCCAAGTTCTCTTTGGTTTTATGGTTAGAGGAAATGGTTGTGTGTCAGTAAGACTCTGGATTCCTCTCCTGGTTAATAGCATTGACCTTGAGCAAGTCATTTGACCTTTTTGCCTCACTCTCCACTATTGGGTTAAAAAATAAGTATAAACTTAACGCAGTGACCTCCCAAAAGGAAAACAACCAGATGCTGCATGTGAGCTGAACATTCTTGAGGAAATGAATTACACAGCTTCTGTTTCTGCCCCCAATTAAGGATGTTAAATATTGGTTAATTGAATAGTCGAGTAACCTCATGAGTTCTTATCGTTTAGTCGACTGTTGTATAGTACCTGGAGACAGGGCCAGCCGCCAGTGTGATCCAGCCCCATTTCCGAGGAGCCCCCAGCTGCTCTGCGCTGCTGCCTCTGTATCAGAGACAGCAGTGTGGGGTGCCAAGTAGGGGCTGGTCTGCAAGGGGAGACAATTTAAAAACCAGCTCCTGTAAACTGTTGGTCCTGTAGACCAGCTGACTGTCGCCCCATGCTGCTGCCTCTGATACAGAGCATCAGCTCTAGCATAAGCTAGAGCTGAGCTGTGCTGCTTGCCCTCCTAGCTCCTAATGCACTTTAAATGCAGAGCCACAGCAGGCGTAGGTCCCGGACTAGGTGTGAGCTGGGTTCTCTGTCCACCCAGCTCCTAATACACTTTAAATGCAGCAAGGGTAGGTTTGGGACCCGTTGCAAGCCAGGACTCAGCCTGCTAAAAAATGTACTGCCAAGGGGTGGGTGGGACAAATGCATGTAGTCTATAACATTAACCTATAAGCTTTTGCTTATTGGTTAATGGACTGTCCTATTACATCCGTACCCCCAATCCCTGAGAGCCACATTCTGCATCTGATCTGTCCTAGGGAAATGCATTCATTAAAATAATGCTGCTATCAAACAGTAAGTACCACAGTCACTAGAGGTAGTAATGAAATGGACAATAACCAGACCAGTACTTAGTTTTTCTGAAGTGACAGCGATTTGCCTTTCTAGCTGCATTTATTAGCCTGCTAGGGAATATGAAACAGAGCCAGAATGGGGATTTCTAACCTGTTCCTAGTACAGTAATGAGAAACAACAAATGTAACTTATTCCAGGTAAATGGGTCAATTTCACCAGAAGAAGGCTAGTTAAAAGTAACAGCCACATGCAGGATACAACGGTATGTGTTTATGTTAAGGCACAGGACATGTAACTCTGAGATATTATATCCCATGCAGAGGCTCAGAATATGTGACCTCTAAAATATGTTGCTAACGAAATGTGATTAATGCAGATGTTTCCTCTTTGGATGTGTATGAAAAGTTGATGCATTAACTTTTTACAGGAAGGTCAATTCTAAATGCTCGAGCATCCTCTGACAAATATTTTGTGTAACCCTTTAGCTCCTAATCCATTTAAGCACTTGCAATCATTAATTAATGCTTCTCTGGATGGAATGGAAAGGTGTACCTGGCAAATTCTACAGCACAGCAGAACAGACCAGTAGGTGCATTCCACTGGATATACTTGGTACATTCAGCAGTGCAGAGCAGCACAATGTGTCATTCTTCCTGATCATACCTGAGTCAGGGTTGCAAGTGCATTCCACATGTAGGTGTGAGCAGCAGCCAAAGATTTTAAGAAGCTATAGCAGAAGAACAGGAATGTTTTACAGAATGGGAAATATCAAGCTAGTCCCATACCAGGGTACTTCTTAGGAGGGGTTTGGACACTATTTGAAAAACTAGACTGTCCTCAGAACTTCAACAAATTGTACTTTTTATGTGCATGGGAGATTTATGTTGAGGTGAGGGGGGAGAGATCATCCAGTTTCCTCATCTTTTTCTCCTTCTGACAACAGCATGAGAGTTTTTTCCTCCAGGGCTGGCAGGGACTCCCCATGCAGGCTGAAGATGCTGGTTCACAATCAACCAGTAGGGAGTTTCTGGAGGGAAGTGCTTTGGCATTACTTTCCCTATGGATGAGCAACCTATTAGAGATGTGAAGTGCTCAAGTGACAGCTGCCCTCTTGACCAACACACCAGGATATGGGGTGGGGAATCTAAAGCCTGGGGGCCAGATCCAGCCCCTGGCGTGCCTAGATCCAGCTCCCAAGGCTCGGGGCTCCCCCCCTAGCATTGGGGAGCTTGCACTGGCACTCCAGCCTCATGGGCCCCCTCTGGCTCCTTCTTCGGGGCTAGAACACAAATGCTGTCTCCCTGCTAGGCTCTGGGGTGTGAGGGCGAATGTGCGGGAGTGTCTTTCTGCTTCTGAGTTGGGAGCTTCTCACTTTTGTCCAGCTCCTGACTGATTTTTCTGTGGGTCAGTGGCCTCGACTCGTGGGTGGGACAAATGCATGTAGTCTATAACATTAACCTATAAGCTTTTGCTTATTGGTTAATGGACTGTCCTATTACATCCGTACCCCCAATCCCTGAGAGCCACATTCTGCATCTGATCTGTCCTAGGGAAATGCATTCATTAAAATAATGCTGCTATCAAACAGTAAGTACCACAGTCACTAGAGGTAGTAATGAAATGGACAATAACCAGACCAGTACTTAGTTTTTCTGAAGTGACAGCGATTTGCCTTTCTAGCTGCATTTATTAGCCTGCTAGGGAATATGAAACAGAGCCAGAATGGGGATTTCTAACCTGTTCCTAGTACAGTAATGAGAAACAACAAATGTAACTTATTCCAGGTAAATGGGTCAATTTCACCAGAAGAAGGCTAGTTAAAAGTAACAGCCACATGCAGGATACAACGGTATGTGTTTATGTTAAGGCACAGGACATGTAACTCTGAGATATTATATCCCATGCAGAGGCTCAGAATATGTGACCTCTAAAATATGTTGCTAACGAAATGTGATTAATGCAGATGTTTCCTCTTTGGATGTGTATGAAAAGTTGATGCATTAACTTTTTACAGGAAGGTCAATTCTAAATGCTCGAGCATCCTCTGACAAATATTTTGTGTAACCCTTTAGCTCCTAATCCATTTAAGCACTTGCAATCATTAATTAATGCTTCTCTGGATGGAATGGAAAGGTGTACCTGGCAAATTCTACAGCACAGCAGAACAGACCAGTAGGTGCATTCCACTGGATATACTTGGTACATTCAGCAGTGCAGAGCAGCACAATGTGTCATTCTTCCTGATCATACCTGAGTCAGGGTTGCAAGTGCATTCCACATGTAGGTGTGAGCAGCAGCCAAAGATTTTAAGAAGCTATAGCAGAAGAACAGGAATGTTTTACAGAATGGGAAATATCAAGCTAGTCCCATACCAGGGTACTTCTTAGGAGGGGTTTGGACACTATTTGAAAAACTAGACTGTCCTCAGAACTTCAACAAATTGTACTTTTTATGTGCATGGGAGATTTATGTTGAGGTGAGGGGGGAGAGATCATCCAGTTTCCTCATCTTTTTCTCCTTCTGACAACAGCATGAGAGTTTTTTCCTCCAGGGCTGGCAGGGACTCCCCATGCAGGCTGAAGATGCTGGTTCACAATCAACCAGTAGGGAGTTTCTGGAGGGAAGTGCTTTGGCATTACTTTCCCTATGGATGAGCAACCTATTAGAGATGTGAAGTGCTCAAGTGACAGCTGCCCTCTTGACCAACACACCAGGATATGGGGTGGGGAATCTAAAGCCTGGGGGCCAGATCCAGCCCCTGGCGTGCCTAGATCCAGCTCCCAAGGCTCGGGGCTCCCCCCCTAGCATTGGGGAGCTTGCACTGGCACTCCAGCCTCATGGGCCCCCTCTGGCTCCTTCTTCGGGGCTAGAACACAAATGCTGTCTCCCTGCTAGGCTCTGGGGTGTGAGGGCGAATGTGCGGGAGTGTCTTTCTGCTTCTGAGTTGGGAGCTTCTCACTTTTGTCCAGCTCCTGACTGATTTTTCTGTGGGTCAGTGGCCTCGACTCAAAAAAGGTTCCCCACCCTTCTACAACTTGAGTTAAAGTTGTTGAGGTGGATCTGTAATAGACTCTCATCCTCTGCATATCGGGTGCAGCATTGATCTGTAAAACGCCTGTTGTGCAGAGATGGAGGAAGTTTCTCGACGCAAATTCTTATCCCAACTGTCAGGCCAACTTTCACCTCCTTGTAACCTCTCTCTCTGCTGGCAGTGCTGCGACTCAGTAGTGGGTATTTCAATGTACTTGAGCCAACAGCAGCTGGCACAGTAATAAACAAGACCATAGCCTGTTTCTTTTAAATCTGTATCCTCAATTGCAGCAGGATTTTCTTTGTTGGCAGGAACTTTGCAACAGAGCCTTTGCAGTTGAGTACAGGACTGGCTCAGCTGTGCTCAGTTTTTCTCATTTTACATGGATAAAATATTAAAGTAAGTGCTTATAAAAGATTTCTCCTTGGTCAACAGCGCAAATTTGATTTTCCATAGTAAATGTATTGCCTGTGTATTCTGAATTGTAATAGTGTCATTCTGGAGCAGTTGAGGGAGTGGATCTCAGGTCGTTTTTGATGCCATCTCTGTACAAATGTACTCATGATCTTAGGACAGTGGTTGTGTTTGGGATTTTCTCCCTGCAGCAGTTAGTGGTTTTGAAGAGCTTCTTTAATGCAGTTGTTAAGTATGAAAAATCCTGTAAAGTCATGGAACATCCTTCCGGTAGCAGCTCTGATACGTACTTGGGTTCATCACCTTGCCAGAGGGTTCGATTGGTGTGTGGTGATCTGTAGAATTTCAGCTGAATGTGATCTTGTTATTTTACAGGCAAAACCCTGATCTCCACCTGCAGTTACAGCAGAGACCCCCTCACCATCACAGCCCTACATCCTCCTTAACCTCCTTGGGATCTTTGACCTTACTACAGTCTCCACCACCATCCAGACTGTCTCCTTCCCAGCATCAGCAACCCCTGACTCCAAATCAGGGAGACCCGTGCTATCTACCGCGCACTCAGCAGCTGTTCCTACCTAACCAGGTCCATCAGGGAGACTTCTACCGACTATGCCAGCCCAGTCTCAGCCAGCAGCAGCAGCAAGGAGATTCCTACACGTTAATGCCAAGAGCTCAGCAGATACCTTCTCCTTATCAGCAGATGCAAGTAGATCCTTTTGCCATTGTTTCCAGAGCCCAGCAGATGGTGGAGATCCTGTCGGAGGAGAATCGATCCTTACGGCAGGAGTTGGATGGGTGCTACGAGAAAGTGGCCAGGTTACAGAAGGTGGGTGTAGAATGGAACTGCCCTTCTCCTTTGTATAATGTTCTCTGTAATTAAAATGACGACAAAACCAATGTGAGCTGGATGGTGCAGGGGGCTGGTAATCTGATCTGGAGCTTTTCAGAGCCAGACCCAGTTTGGAACCTGCCCAGGTTGGTAGTGCCTGTTCTTTGGCATCTGCTGGCATTCTGTTTATCTAGGTGTGCTGAGTTGGTGGCCTCACTTCTGCACTTGGTAGATGATTGTACCTATTCCAGTTGCCAGTAACAGTGCCAGCCTCAGAGAGGTGAATTCTTAGATTGGTTAGCTCTGTTCCTTAAAGCCAGTGCTAATAATAAGGCTGCCGCTGGTGTGATCTTCCTATTAGATTTGGAGAAAGCTTAGATAGTATGGGGGTGGATTCCCTAGACATAGTTGCGATGACATAGGAGGGATGTGAACGGGTTATGTTTAGCGGGTAATGGTTAACTGGTACTTGGGAGCAGCTCTCTGCCTGGTGGGGCTGGAGCAGCCCCCCCACCTGCTCCCCTGTAATTGGTTAACCGTAATGTTTAACACTATGTTTAACTGGTTAACCAACTAAGTGGGATTTTATCTCTATTACACAGCCAAGAGACTATGTGGGCCCTGGGGACTGGACTACCTTTTTGCCCTAGAAATAGTCCTCCAAAACTGACTGACTGGGCATTGAGGGAGAAGTTTGCATAGCTGCTGCCCATCAGTGTTTCCTCTAAGCTGTGGGGCAGCACAGCTTCACAGGTGATTAATCAGTCCTGCCCAGTTAGAGGTTCAGGGCTCCAGTTCAGAGGGAACAGCCCGTGCTGTGTGTATCCCATTCTTTGGGTGTGATGAAGTGGGGATTGTATTCACTCAGTTTGCTTTGTTATGTTGCATGTGATTTCTACTGTCCTGTGGTAACCCTGTGTGTGCCTCAGTTTCCCTGGGCACGGCATCACAATCTAGATGGGGATGGGAATTCCAAGTGTGACTCACTGAAGGAGGATGCCCAGGCCTGCAAGTTCACAATGACCCAGGCTCATGGTAACCTGAGCCCAAGAAGGGAATGTGACCTGGTGACACCTTTTGCCGGGGAAGCTGGACAAAGGCTGGAGATGGGGTGGCTGCAGACAGATGAGTGGCTGAGAGTATAAGTGAGTCTCGCTGGCTTGGGGTGCAGAGATGGGGAGCAGGACCATTGGCTCCAAGCTCCCCTCACCCCCAGATGGATTGTACTGACTGTTACTGGTTCCGGAGCTAACAAGTCTGCTCTGTGCTGTATCCCTGTTGATTAATAAACCTTCTGTTCCATCTGCTGGCAGAGCCGTCTGGCTGCAGATGGGGGTGCAGGACACGGTGTCTCCCCACACCTCGGTGACAGTGGATAAATAAAGAAGTTTGGACCTACAGGGCTGTAAAGCCATCACTTCTCTCTGGCACTGTAAATTCACTTAAATCCTAACACAACACCAGTCATGTGTTATTCTAGGAGTCCCACTATTGCTTTCCTTATACAGCAGGGATTGTCAAAGTAAGAGAGACAGCCTTCGCAATCACACTGGCATGTATGTTTTTATAATTCTTAAAATAATTGTCAGTAGCGTGTGTGGAGTTGTGCTCCTCTGATAGACAGCAATTTAGAACCAGCAGCTGGTCAGCTTTCTCTTTACTCTGCAGCTGTAGAGAAAAGGTGAGCACTGGATGCAGTTCAGGACTCTGCAAACCTCTTTTGGGGCCTTGAACTACACTTGGACCCCTGAACAGCTTGCAAGTGCCTGGCTGTTCAACTTTAAGTGGGTTGTTCTTGTTCCTTTACCATGTCTGAATTCCTGTGTTTACTATTTCTTCCCACTTCTTCTAATTCCTAACATGACTTCTGCCCAGGTTCGTTTGTTTTTTAGGGAGGTTCCAGTGAGGGAAGTATTTTAGTGAAGTGTTTGACAGCTTCCTGATAACAAGAGATAAAGGAATTCTCTTTCCTCCCCGCCTCCTCCCACTAATCAGCTTCTTGCTGAGGGAGAGCTGGTGAGGTTTGCAGTTTGGTGGCTGTTAATACCAAAGTGACATGAGATCCTGCTGGTTTTGGAGAAAGTCAGTGGGCATCTATCTCTGGTGAGCAGTTCCCTGCTTAGACATCAAACTAAGAGACAGTACGGCAAGATGGGTTGGGCAAAAGCTATATTTTACTGTTTCAACAACTATGGCAATACTGTAAATTGAAGTTAAATGACCGACTGATCAAATAGTCTGATCAAATAGTTGTGTCTCTTAGTGGGTAGGATACTAGACTGGGATTCAGGACCCAGGCTATGTTCTCTGCACTGTCACTGTCTTGCTGTGGTACCTTGGGCAAGTTGCATCACTGCTCTGGGCCTCCATTTCCCTAGCAGTCAAATGGGTGTAGTGATACCAACCTTCATTGTAAAGCTCTTGGAGAGCAACTGATAGAAGCATTATCTATGAGTTGGGTATTGTAACAGGTTTAACCTCTCTGGTCCGGCAATATTGGTGGTCGGGCTTGATTTTAGTTTACCAGATGGCCTCTTTTCCTGGGTGTGGCCAAGTTTCCCATAGTCCTATAAAGTTTGTTTACAGCCACCAGTCCTGGCTCTCAGTGTTCTGGGCTGTTACTTAGCCCTAAATGAATTTTAAGAGCCCAATAAGCAGTGGAAGTGTTGTTAGTGCTGCTAGACAATATTGACCTCCCATGGTTCAGCACCAGTCAAGTCCTGAGGGTGCCGGACTAGAGAGGTTCAACCTATATTTATTAATTAGATAGAAGTTTAGTAAGTAGTACAAACAAAATAGGAGGGTTTAGTACCCACTATCGATTATCGTTCTGTAAATAAATACAAATCTGCAACGCACATCAGAAATTTACATTTTGATATTAATATTTATAAATATAATTTTATATATCTGCTTTGTATGTTCTCAGGTTTTTTTTTTAATCTGTTTATCAAAGACCTTCTATGAAATTGCTTTTTGACCCAGCTCATGGTGATTTCACCTGGTAGTTATGCCCCTGCTTTTAGGCCCCAGCATCAGCATCTGCATCTGCAAAAAGGCCTTTCTGTAACTGTAAAAAAGGCCCTTTCCAGTAACTGTTTCCAGTAATGAAGAGCAAGGGCCTGAGAGACAGGACTCCAGCACTTTATGTCTAGCTGTGCTTCAGACTCCCTTTGTGACCTATGATACATCACAGCCTCTTTGTGTTGCAGTTTTACCCACCCGTACCATGGCAGTAATCATGTTTTCCCTCCCACAAGGCTTAAATCTTTGTTCAATAAACCACTTTGAGAACCTCAGAAGAAAAATGCTGCCTAAGTGCCAGGTATTGTTAATGCTAAAGGAAATGGATTTATTAATTTGTTTTGCAGCTGGAAACAGAAATACAGCAAGTTTCAGAAGCCTATAAAAACCTGGAGAAGTCCTCCTCTAAGCGGGATGCCCTGGAAAAGGCTATGAGAAACAAGCTGGAAGGAGAAATTCGTAGGCTTCATGATTTCAATAGGGATTTGAGAGGTAAATCATTAAAAATTTCAATTTAAATTTTTTTGTATACTTGTCTGGTGAGTGTGTTCCTTTGTGAGTCACTTGTTATGGCTGATACACTTACAGAACATGACATGATATTCCAGGTATTCTCAACTGTCTAATGTTGTCAGCAGAGAGCTGGGAGTGTAGAAAGGTAAGGTTCAGTTGATTAGTGCAATATCTAACTTCCAGCCTGTTAATCATTAAGGAAACAGAAAGATAGCAACAAGCCAAAACTGTATCCCAGGGTATAATCCTGGACCTATTTCTCACGTTGTATTCTAAAAACATTGTGTACAAGCGCCAATGTGAAACTATGAATGCTGACATCCATGTCCTGTCCTTTGGGCCCTTTGCACTAACACACACAGGGCTAACTGCCTGCTCTTCCTGAAGGCTTTCAATATTCCTTATCAATCCAGACAGCTCTTCCTTCAGACTCCCCTTTCCCTTCCAGGGCAAGACGCTGCCTGTATTTCTTCAGTAATGTCTGGCTCCTGTAAGAAGTTACAGCAGTACTGTGGCTGGGAATCGGGAGTGTCAGTGAATGGTGTGCAAGCCTAGATTGGCCATGGTTAAGCTTTTAATTTTCAAAGGGAGAAAGTGGCTTGTGGTTTAAAGAAAAATAATAATTGCAGAATAATTTAAGCTGGTTGTTCAGCCTTTTCTATAAATGTCTCCTGGTTCCCCTGCATGTTATCTACTGTCGCTGCCCTCGTGGTCTCTACTCATTTAAAGCCATGTGACTTGGGAGAATGGGAAATACTTTGTGTTAGTCTAAAAGTCACCACAGGGTAAGTCTACATTGTTGTCTTAAAACCCCACAGCAGCCGTTCTTGGGCATTGAATCTTGGGCTGCAACTTGGATTCCCATGCCTCAGAACCTGAGACCCTGCCAGAGCCCAAACCTCTAAACAGCTGTTTTTAGTACTCTGCATAAGCCTGAGACTCATTGGCACAGGTTGTAAAACACAGTGTAGACTTACCCATAGTGCCCAGTACTGCAGTGGAAGGTGTCATACAGAAGCTTGTAATAAAGAAATTAACCTCTTTTCCCAGCAAATCAAGCAGCATAAGCACTTAATATGAATACCCAAAGACTAATACAGACTTTTGTCTTTCAGAACACAAATGTTGATTGAGGGTTTTTCATTTTTTTGGGTAGTCAGGTAATCAGAAATCAGGCCACTAGTCCTTTTAGTTTTCCAACTTCTGCCCAGAATGCTTAGTAGAGGATTGCTAAAGAATTACATACCCTTATTGAAGTTAATTTTAAAAATTGATATCCTTTTTATAGGTTTTGTAACCATCCTATGTTATTTAAAAGCAAATTATATTCCTGGGATATAGTTCCATAGAATGGGTCAGCACTTGTGTGATTTTTTTTTTTAATTTTCCCCCTAAACTCTCACATGTGTTAGCTCTTTAGAGAGATAAGATGGGTGAGGAAATCTTTTAGTGGACCAACTTTGGTTGATGAGAGAGGCCTGAAGAAGAGCTCAGTGTAAGCTTGAAATTTGTCTCTCTCTCATAGACATAAGGTGGTTCAACTAAATATATTGTTTCACCTACCAGTCTCTTGAATATCCTGGAATCAACACAGCTGCAACACCACTGTAGTGCATACATAGATTTTTAGAGTAATTTCTATAGAATTCCATTGGCTTCATCCCCTGCTGAATTCTCTAAAATATTTCCATGAGAGTGTTGTAGCTAGAAATAGTTGAACAGCATTTGTATATGTTGTGAAAGCAACTGCCTCTTTGGTTTCTGACCCCAGCCGTTTGTTGCAAATCGTTTAGAACCAGGAGTCCTTTGCATAGAACTTGTTTTTACATATGTCCAAAATAGATGCAACTAACTTAGTGAGCTCTTAGAGCATTTCTGAAAGGTTTTTATTTTTTTGTTTCCCTTCTTAAAAAAAACAAACAAACCCTGCAGAGCGGATGGAGACGGCCAACAAGCAGCTCGCTGAAAAGGAATTTGAGGGATCTGAGGACAATCGGAAAACCATCTCTCAGCTCTTTGCACAAAGTGAGTCAGACGTTCATTGTGGTCTAGGAAGAATGTGTCACTCAGGCGGTTTTGTGTACTCCGTATCACCCTGTCTTGTTATGTGCTCTGAGATTATTGTGATGTAGGCACATTAGATAGTCTTTAAAACTACCAGTGAATAAAGACATTAAATTCAGGGCTTTACTTCTGTCAGAACATAAAAAATTCTTCTGCTAACCTATATGAAGTGGTGAGGTATCCGGGATGCTGGAAAGAACACTAAGCAGTCTACTTAACACTGGGTAATGAAGATCTTTAACATCAAAGTGCTTCCATGCATAGGATGTAGCTCTGGACCCCTTTTATGTCCCAAAGATATGCTTGGGCCTGATCCCTCATATGGCCACGGTCTTGGAAGGGGGCCAGAGCAGATGAAGAGGAGCTAAGTTGGGATCCATGGGGTAGGGATGTTAAATATAGTGTAATTGAATAGTCAGTCATGTGACCACATGACATCTTAGCAGTTACATGACTATTTGAATAGTCCCCGGGGGTGGGGCTGGCAGCTAGTATGCTCCTGGTCCTGCTCCCGAGGAGCCCACTGACACCCTGCGCTGCTGTCTCTGATACAGAGGTAGCAGAGTGGGGCGACAGCAGCTCCTGACTGTGGGCAGCTCGGACCCCCTGGACAGGGACTGCTGCCACGGACCAGCCTCTGTCTGCGGTGGGTCCAGGCTTGCTGGAGCAGCCTCTGTCCGTGGGGAGCTGGGACTCCCTACAGACAGGAGCTGCTGCCGCAGACAAAGGCTGCTTTATGGCTACCTTCTCTGTGACTCTGCGCTGCTGTAGAGGCAGTAACATGGGGGAGGGGGAGAACTGTTTTTTAAGCTGCTCCCCCCAGCACTGGCTCCTGCTGCAGCAAGCCTGGGGGAGGTGGCACATGCGGGGAGCCTGCTTGAAAGCTGGCGTCCCGTACGTTTTGGCTCCAGCTTGCTCTGCCCACCCTCCGCGGGGGGGCAGGCAGATCTGATGCTTATGGGGAGCCTGCTTATGGGGATCTGGTGCTTATGGGGGAGCCTCCTCATGGGCACTGGCTCCTGCTCCCCTCCCCCTTGCCAGACGGGGTGTGCACACACATGTAGTAGACAAGATTAACCAATAAGCCCAGGCTTATCGGTTAATCGTGTAGTTAACTACACGTTGAGATCCATCCCATGAGGTGGATCCCCCAGCTATTCCCTCGACAGTCGCTCATTGGCAGAGTCAGTTTAATGAAGATGCTGGCAGGGAGAATTTTCAGTCTGAAACAGTAAAAAGGAGGAACTCCAGTATTCTGCTGGGCTGGGCAGAGATACCCAAGGGTCATGACTTATTATCCACAGCCGTGGATCCATCACAGGGCAAACCAAAATTGTAGGTGTGAAATTTTGCCTTTCCTCCATCCTGAAATATCTTGAGGCTAAGGGCAGTGAGTCAACTTCCCTCCTAATTCCATGGTGCACTCCACCCTTCTGACACTGCTTGCAGCTCTTCAATTGTGTTATATAATGTGTGTTAAAAAAGGGGAGAGCATTGCAAAATAGAGAGAATTTGCTGTGGTGGAGTACATTCTGCTGCTCCTGCTTTGTGGTGTTGAAATCCCTCCCTTGTGCTGTCCTCAGTCTACCTCCATTGAGTTAGCAATTTGGGCCTTTGAAGTCACTGTTTAGCTTTCCATGTAAAGCCCTGAAAGTGGTAATAGGAAGTCTGCTTAGTTGTGAGATTAGTTTGTTTCTTTAAACTGGATTAATAGATGTTGAGATAAGGGGACAAGAGGGGGGAAATGCTGTGTTTTTATTGCTTGATAACTAGAGGTAGCCCACAGCTCATGTGAGATCTCAGTTTGCATATATGCTACAGGCTGAAACTTGTTCTCACTGAAGTCATTAGCAAAACTACTGTTCACTTTGGCTACGTCTACACTGCAGCACTATGTTGGGATACCAGAGGTATTCCGAAAGAGCTATCCCGTGTCTTAACAGCAAGCCCGTTATTTCAAAATATAACAGGCTTACTATTCCAACGTTGCTATAAACCTCATTCCTCAAGGAGTAAGGGACATTTGGAAATAGCAGGTTATTTTGAAATTTAGCGCTGTGTAGACAGTGCCAAATTACGAAATAAGCTATTTCAAAATTGACTCAAAATAAGCTACGCCATTTGTGCAGGTCAAATTGCATAGTTTATGTTGAGCTATGGGTGCAGTGTAGACGCACCCTTTAGGAGCAGAATCAGGCCCTGCATGAGTGAATCTGTAGGTTACAGTCCTCCAGGCTGTGATTTAAACCTGTCGTACCAGCTGATGGTATCCTTACTCTATAGGAAAGAATCCCCTAGGGAAGGGCAGATAGTTTGTTGCTGCCTGTTGTCCTGTGGTGTTTCTGTCAGCAGAAACCAGTTCAAGGTTGTAGTCAGGGCTACATAACAGTTCCTACTTCAGAGGCTGCCCTGGGAATGTGCTGCATTGGCACATTTCTTCTTGGGTGCTCTGACCATGCTCCCGCCCTGCCACAGCAACCATTTTTAGGCTGCTCTGATCCCCTCATAGAAGAGAATTTGTAGCTGCTGTATGCTGCCAGGACTCCACACTTGGCTCTTCTCTGATGGAAGAATGGGAACTGCTCTGAGCCTGTAGATATATTTATACGTCGGTGTACGCCACGCACTGTCTGTATTAACAGCTAAGGTCTGGCATTTGTTCTTCAAAGACTTCCATTGCTTGTCCTCATTCCATTCCATGGGATATTAGTTTTTGGAATGCATTTTCTCTGGTGTCATCAGAGCTGAATGTAGATTGCTGCAGGGGTGCATTCTGTGGCTGTTCTCTGAAGCTGAATTAATGTTACCAGTGCAAGTGATTGGCTTCTGCTGAGGACTGTAGTGACTCCGCAGAAAGCATGCCAACTCAGCACTCTTGTTCTGCTTTGCTTTATGCACTTGCATTATATTTTTCTGGTCCTGCATACTTCTGTGAATTAATGTGCAATGTAACTGCACAGATTCTAAGGCCGTGGTCTCCATCAGTTCTGAAGCAGTAGCCACTAAAGCGGACTAGCCACATTATTCTGAAAACGCTATAGTGAACTAGCCACATTATTCAAGCCAACTAGCTACACTCAATTGGCCAAACAGCAACGTGTGGCTAGTGTGTTGGACACCACGGTTCTATGGCATTCGCGAAGTTCATCTTTTGACGGATGGCAGCCTACCTGGAACAGTCAAAGGACTGGAATATGCTCTATGTTCAATCTTCTCTTGACTTGGTAATTTTCATCATAGGATGACAACGTGTGCGTTTACTGCTGGCATTTGTGGGTGTGTATGTATGTGGACCAGCTGGGACACTAGTAGCATGGCTTGGATTCTCCCAGTATGAATTAGACCTGATGAGTGTAGAGTTGACTGCAAAGAGAAATACTGTCAGGACTGAAATCAACCCTTTAGAAGACGGAGGAAGCAAACATGTAAAACAGTACCAATAGCTCAAGTAAACTTGTTTCTGAAAAAGATTTAAACTTATTTGCCTGAAGTCCAGACTTGCAATCTGTGTGCCTGTGCCTCCTTGCTAGCAGTGTGATCTCAGCCAACTAATCCCTGCATCAAGAAATGAGAAGCCAGCAAGGAGCAATGTTAAATATGAAATCCAAATAACTGAATAGATTTGAGGGCCAGAAAGAACCGTTATGATCTTTTAGTCTGATCTTCTGTACAACACATGCTTTAGATTAGAACCTCATCCAGTAATTCCTGCATCAAGTATCAGTTCTTCATCCAGTGTAAACAACAGGAAAGTGTATGCATTGGTGGCAGATGATGCCTGAGAGGGTGAGTTCCTTATGTAACCAAAGCTCAGGTACAGCTGTGACAGTGCAGGCCAGCATGCCTTGGTCCTGACCTGGAGTGTCACTTTTAAGGGCAGATGAGCTTTTTTGTTGTTCATTCATTTCCTGGCCCCTTTGAAAATGCCTGCAGAGGGAGCCAATTGGGGTGGTGCTTCAGTAAGGAAGGCACTTGCCCACCAGGAACTCACTGAGGTCAGTGAGCTGTATTTATTTATATGTCCGTGTTTGTGAATTAATTTAAAAATGTGCTCATCTCTGAATAGGGAGTCCTGAAAGCAAATATTACATCATGGCCCCAAATCAGACAGTTTCCCCCCCCCCCCCCCCCCCCCTATGTTAGCTTGTTTTCTGATTTTAAACCAGTGATTTTAAACCAGTGAGTTTGAGATGAAAGGTGCTGCATCCTCTTAGCCATCTATCTAATCAGGGTATGATAAATAACCTAATTGAACATATTTTTCCAAGCAATTCATTTTTCTATCCCTCTGTATTTAGACTAGATAGAGATCTGCCCTTTACTCTCTTTGGAAACCAAGCAGCTGTTGAAAAGATCCCCTCCTCCTTAATCACTGGTAGAATTTAGGAGAGACTCCTAGAAGTCTGTGAGGGAAAGCTCCGTCCATTTTATATTTCCCACTTTATTTCTGTAGATAAAGAAACGCAGAGGGAGAAGGAGAAACTGGAGATAGAACTAGCTGCTGCACGCTCCACCAATGAGGATCAACGAAGGCACATTGAGATTCGTGATCAGGCCTTAAACAATGCTCAGGCCAAAGTGGTGAAACTGGAGGAAGAGGTAAGGTCACTCGTAGAGAGAAATTGGGGTAGCTCAAGGTCCATGTTAACTATTTGCCTTTCACAAACTGGGTAGGAAATCGGCTATCTTTAAGGCTGTTTGTATCAGTTCAGCTCGTGTGGGTGCAAAACCATCACTGACATAAAACAAGCCTGTATTTCCTTTAAGGACTTTCATCCTTTGAGCAGTGACATTTCATTTTCCTCTTGTTTTAATTGGTGATAAAGGTGGGCTTGACCTGAAATCCCAAATCCAAACACCCCTAGAATTTTGCGGGAGCTCATGTCAGGATGGACTTTTAACTAAGCACAAATTAAGTCCTCTCTCTTTGTTGTCAAGAGTTCCACTAACTCTGTGGTGGTGGTATGGCAGAGAGCTCCAATGACCATTCTATGTTCCTTATTCATATCAGTGTTCCGTACTGTTATTTAGCTTTTATTTACCCCTAAATGTCTTCTGGGCAGTGGAAGTGTTGATCATACCGCTAGACAATATTGACCTCCCATGGTTTGGCAAATTCTCTGGTTCAGTACTGGTCAGGTCCCAATGGTGCCGGACTAGAGAGGTTCAATCTGTACTACATGAATAGGAGCCATGCAAATGCCACTTGGTCATTGCAGTGGAGTGGGAGGATTTTCAGACACTTTAAAAAAGGAGGGATTGATATGTCTGAGAGGGAAGATCTGAAGATACAAGTAGCTGAAGGAGTAAAAGTGGGATGTCTGGGGAAAGACTTTGCAAATTCTGAAGGTTGTGGGAGGAAAGGAGGGCAGAGAGACAGGTGGGTGTCAGTTGGAGGAATGGAACTCTCAACTTTATGCTGAGTTAGAGAGTTAATGGATATGGATTAGGAACTCTCCTCTGAACACACGAGGGGGTTCTTGCACATTAGGGTTGAAGTACCTGTGTGGGAAAAATTGTCCATGCTGCTGCCTGTTCTGGAGATAAGCAGAGGAATTCAGGCTTGGGGATAGTTGACCTAGCTTCCTCCACCAGCACTAACGTCACACCAACACTATAGAATATTTGACCTGTTGCAAGTCTAGTGCTGTGCCCAGCTGTGTGGGAGACTTGGCTTTGGTCCTCAAGATACCAAGGGAAGTAGACCTGAGAGGAGGTGGGACTTTGTGAAGCTAGAGGAGGCTGGAGAGCTGAGAGGTTGCTAAAGACCAAGAGGCAAATTCAACCCTGGTAGCAGCCGTCACAACTCCATTGACTTCAGAAAAGCTGCAGCAGCTTATGCCAAGGCTGAATTGGGCCTTCTGTATAATCAGGAGAGTAAAGAGCTGTCAGGTGTAGGCTAATTTAAAATGTGGGACGATGCTGTTTGATGATTCAGACTGTTAAGGGGCTCGTTCCTGCAAGAGGTGGTGTGCTCAGTCTTTGCAGTTCTGAGCACCTATTTGAATTCTGAAGCTGCTTCCATTATGGTGTCATCTGAATGCTTGCAGGTTAGTAGAGCCCTGCAAATCCGTGGATGTGGATATCCGCATCTCATTTTTGCAGATATGTATGTGGATGAGGATGCTAATTTTGTATTTAGAACACTGCATATTTGCAGATGTCCGCTTTATATCCACAGGTACCCACCTCCGTGGATACAGATGTGGATGCAAATGTATCCACGCAGGGCTTTACGGATTAGTAATGTATAAACCTCCACATGTTGGATTTCTAAATAGCCTTCTTGGATTAGTAAGAGATTTATGGTATGCTGCTCTTTTATAAATATTTTATGAATAGACTTTTAAAATATAGGTTATACGTAATGATTCCTGTTTTTAGATAAAATGTATTATAGTCCGTATGATGATTTGTCTTGGTTTTTATCTAGCCACTGCTTGAATCTAGGGCTCACAGGAAGTGCCACCTTTCCTGTTGCAGATGAATATGGAAGCTTTTCAGTGAGTGAGCAGAAATTAACTGGGTTGTACTTGTTAATGGAGGCATGGGGAGAATAGAAAAAAATGGCTATTCTTTGTAGGTCTCCCAGATCCCTTTTCATTAATATGCTCAGGATCATAAAGAATTTTTTGCCCTGCTGGCACTAAACTGTGAGGGCTTCTCAAATCATTGCTCTGCTCTTTCAGTAAGTTTCCAAAAGAAGGCACAGGAAGCAGTTCAGTGCTCAGAGTAACAATTTGAGAAGGCCTCGAAATGTCAGGCTATGATTTAGTGGTATCCAGTGACCAAGATATCTGAAGAATTTGTCAATGATTTCTTTTATTCCTGCATGCTTTGCCCGAATATGTAGTCCGCATAATTGCCAGGAATTTCCAAATTAGTGCTGCAGAAGAGGGTGGGGTTAGTTATGCTAACACTTGGCAGTGGCCCTGGTTCAAGCCCTTGGGGATGCTGTGTGTATGTGTGTGTAGTCCAGTTGTTGCATCCTGTAGTGTGGGGCTGGTTTATTTTCTTCCTTTTTGGCTTCCTACTCAGCAGATTCTCATCCTGCCTGATATCTATCAGATCCTTTAAAAAAACAGAATTTATTCTAGTTTATATCAGAGCTAGCAACTGTGTGTTGCTGAAATTTTGACTTTCAGGTTGAAGGAGTTCTTTTCTCAGCTCTGTTACTCACTGAGCTGGGCAGGTCACCTAACTTTCTGAGTTGTTGAATTTTAATGAATATTTCTGCATTCTAAAATCTTGGTGGCAGGATGAAAGGGTTCCATAAATGCTAAGTACTGTTAATATTGAGAAAGCAGGCTCCTTGAAGTTCTTCAAACACATTGTGGAGGCTGCGAAAGTAGCAGAAAGATGCACAGAGTATTTTCCTGCACCGTTAATAGAAGATTATATGTTTCTTTAAATAAAAATTTAAAATAAGGTGCAATTAAAATTGGATGATTTATTTCTGGGAAATAGCAAGGATATGATCATAGATACTTAAAGAGAACTCAGAGTAAGGATGTTAATGGTTAATCGATAACCTGTGGGGCAGCCCTCTCTGCTCCAGCCCTGCTGGACCCTCATATGGGGCTGCTGGCTCCCAGACCACATGGGAGCCAGCAGCTCTGGAAGTGCTGGGCTGGAAACAGCTGGGCTGAAGACTGCTCCAGCACACCCACCCCAGCTGCACCAGATAACTATTTAAACTTAACATTCAACAGTTAACTAATTAAATGGGATTTGACATTCCTAACTGAAAACAAATACAGGTACTCAATATATGGCTATGTATATCATATAATGTTTGCCTTTTACTGCTTATCTGTGGTTTACAAAGTATTTTAGGGGTGTTGATCATCTATGAGGGTTTCATTGTCCTCCCATGCTATGCATGAGTTGCTGACTTGACTATAAGCTCTGAACTTACGTTCTTCAACATGCAGTAGGCCAGGGGCATGCCTTTAACAAGATAAGTAACCCAGGGAGAAAAAAACAGAACCTCATCTCCCTGTGTATTTATCTTAAGTGTTCATAAGGCACTTGTCTCATTGGTAGCTAAGGACTATGCTTTTATTAACTGTGCATTTAAAATAAAATGTTGCTTTTTAATGTATCTGCGAGAAATCTTCATGTTGTATTACGACGACAACATTCCGATGTTGTGTCTTATCCTATGTCATTGCTTTCAGTGGGGGGAGCTCCTGTTTAGCAATCAGTGCTAAGCGAAGACAAGTTGACTCACACGGCAAGTTTGGAATAGGGATGTAAAATCCCAGTTAATACTTAACCAGTTAAACATTATGTTTAGCTGGTTAACTGATTAAATGGGGGTGGGCGAGGTGGCCATGAGCTGAAGCAATCCCCCTGGCATGGTGGAGAGACTTCTCTGTCCAGGCTGGGCCCACGCGGATGGGAGCTGCTCTGACTTGGCTGGACTGCCCCCTTCTCTTGGCTGGAGCAGCTGGCGGGGGACTGCTCCAGCCCACTGGTTAACAGTAACTGGTAAGCATCATTGTTAACCAGTTAACAATTCACATTCCTAGTTTTGAGAGGAGTTCAGCTTTCACAGGATTCTCAGTGGCAGATGCTGGGGGCTGACCACTTGATATTCTGTTCAGCTCATTGAGGTGCCTAAATGAGAGCTCACTCTATAGAAACCAGGCTCGTAGTTTACAACAAAATGTGTCTAGTTTGGGCTGTGGGTGCAAATTAGTAAACACTTGTTAAGCTCCTGATCAAAGAATCTCTCTGTTTTCTTGTGTCATGGCAGTCTCATTAAGGAGAAAATTTACTTAATGTAGTTAAGGAAATGGCTGGCCCTAATGCCAACAATCTAGGCTAATGAATCTTCTTCCTCGCTGTTGGCTCAGGATGATCCTGAGGACAGCTATCTTGGTGGCTGTTGCAGGGATCATGGGAAAACACTGCTGGCTTTTTTGAGATGTTGAATTTAAAGAATGGGCTGGCTGCGGAGTCTAGTTCTTTCCTTTGCTTCAATGAGCGTGTGAGAGGCTGCCTAGGGAAATGTTAACCATTGCTATGCTGTATAGGGTTGTTATTATTTTTTCTAGCATGTCAGAAATGTACAGCATAGGGCAGACGGGGAGAGAATTTGGTGCTGTGATTGGAGTAGGCACCTGGGCTCTGCTGCTGGCTGTGCCCCTGACTCTGTGGCTCCTTGAGCCAAGTACTTACATTTCCCCAATTGCATCAATTTTTCATCTGAACATACTTGCCCATCTCATAGAAGTGTTGTGGGCCTGAGTGGTTTAAAGCACTTTGAGTTAAAAGGTACTATTGAAATTCAAGTATTATAGCATTAGCACGGGTTGGCTTCATGTGTGCTGCGGTGTGTAGGGGCTACGTTGTTATATACAGTAGGTAATATATTTGTCAGTTTCCATCTCCCTCCTACTTTAGGCCTCATTACTAAGTGCCACAGAGTCATATCCTAATAAATTTGTTAGTCTCTAAAGTGCCATCAGACTTTTTGTTTTTTTCTGCTGAAACAGACTAATGCAGCTGCCTCTCTAAAAAAAGGTTTCCTCATAGGACCTGAGTGATTACAGTGTCATACCAGATCCGTTTCTCGGGCAATATTCAGCCTT